AGGTTGTCTACTACTATAAATGAATATAAAATGTAATATACCTTACAAACTAAGAACTGAAACCTTGTTCAAAGTTTCATTACTCTTGCCCTTGAGCTGCTTCTTCAAGATAGTACACATTAACCAAATGGCGATTGAGGTGTTTGCTATAATCTTTTCCCTTTCTGAAAGAACGATCACAGAAAATACAAACAAAATCTCCCTTAGCCACTTTGACTGCTAAGGCTTCCTTTGCATTTTTTCTGCTAGATTCTTGTGAAACTGGCCGAGCCCCATGTAATCCAGAATCATCACTACCCTCTGACATGTTGTCACTTAGGTCACTTCCTTCATGGCTGTGGATGCCTTCATCTTCATCAATTTCCTGAGACTCATTTACTGCCATGGTAGCAGGAGGTGATGGTGGTGCAGTTTTAGACACTGCTTCACCACATTCTTCTACTGCTGAGGGGGGAAGCATTGGTGAAACTGGTTCTTGAACTGTTGAGTTTATACCAGGGAGATTCTCTCTTGTGTTCTCATCAGTGTCCATTTCCATTTCACAAACCACAGCGTCAGTCTGATGTTTACCATCTGAACTTTCACCCTCTGGCATATTTAAGTTTTGTCTAGAGGATGAAACATGGGTAGATTCCTCAATATTAGCAGCAAGACCAGGTAGGCTCTCATCTGCCTCTTCTGCTCCTACTTTCTGAAGAGGGGCTTCTTGATTTCCTTCACCTCTGACGAGTAATTTTTGGTCTCTTAATGCCTCTTCTTTTAAATTTTCCTTTGGCAGCAGTGGTGATGGTGGTGACAGATCTTCTGTGCTTATACTTTCCTTTAGAAGCCAGCTATCTTTAACAGGCACTAAGCCAACTTCAATAAGGACTTGCTCCTTCTGTGCTCTTTCACTCTGCATGTTAGACTTTTCCTTTTTATGTTTTCGGAGAGGAGGCTTTTTGGAAACTGGCTCCATGTGAAGGGGAGGCTCTATGGGAGGAGAAGCCTCCTTCTGAACCACCCCGACGGGAGGAGACAGCTCCATCTGAACGGGTTCTTTCTGGACCACCTCTATGGGAGGAGACAGCTCCATCTGAACAGGTTCCTTCTGGACCACCTCTATGGGAGGAGACAGCTCCATCTGAACAGGTTCCTTCTGGACCACCTCTATGGGAGGAGACAGCTCTATGTGAACAGGCTCCTTCTGTACTACCTCCATAGAAGGAGACAGCTCCATCTCAACAGGCTCCTTCTGGACCACCCCCATGGGAGGAGACAGCTCCATTTGAACAGGCTCCTTCTGAACCACCTCAACGGGAGCAGGTTCTTCTTGGGCAACCTCCATCTGAACAGTTTCCACGGGAGCAGGACCCATTTGGGAAACCTCCATCTGAGCAGTCTCCATGGGAGAAGGCAGCTCCATGTGAGCAGGTACCATCTGAGCACCCACGACCTGAGCAGGCTCCACAGGAGGTGGCAGCTCCTTCTGAGCAGGCCCCTCTTGAACCACCTCCATCTGAACAGGCTCGGCATAAGCAGGCTGTATCTGGGCACCCTCCATCTGAGCAGGCTCCATGGGAGGCGGCGGCTCCACCTGAACGGTCCCCTTCTGAACTGCCTCTGTGGGAGCAGGCCCCATCTGGGCAGGCTCCATGTGAGGAGGGTCCATCTGAGCAGGCCCCTTCTCAACAGGTTCCTTCTGAGCAGGCTCCTTCTGAGCAGGCTTGCTGCTTTTCTTACTTGATTTATTTTTCAGAGTTTTCTTCTTTGTACTTTTTTTGATGTAGGTATCTTGCTTTTTATTTTCCTCCACTTTGCTGTCACCCTTTGGCACTTCCTGACTATTATTTTTGGATTTGCTTTCTACCTTCCTTTTCTTTCTTGTTGAAGATTCCTCATCATTCACAGGATCACGTAAAGAATGGGTGTCAGCTTCCAGCTTCCTTTTGCTTTTCTTAGTCTTACAAAATTTTTCTGAAGTGCTTCCAGTATGCACATCCATCTCTTTCATCTCTGTTACCGATTTTCGAGTTCTGGTAGTCACTTGGATCACTGACACATTAGAAGGCTTTTTCTCTTTTGAGACATCTCTTTTCTCCGCTTTTATAGGCTTTTCATTTTTCTTTCCAGCTACATCCCCTTTTACTTTTGTCTGTTCTGTTTCTGTTTTTTCATTGGTAATATTATCAGGCAAGTCAGCCTCTCGTTTTTTGGTTTTCTTTAGTTTCACTTTTGAGACATCCATTGTTTTATTAGGACAAGTAGGATGCTTAGATTTGAAGTGATACTGTAGATTACACTTCTTGGAAGCTGCATAGTCACATACAGGGCAATTGAACTGTCGTGGATTCACATGTAGCTCTACATGTTTTTTGAAGTTACTTCTATCTGCTGTTTTGTAGTCACAATGTGGGCAATTGAGAGGTTTAGGCCCATTGTGAACCTGTCTTGCATGGCGAGTTACTTCATGTTGATTTGAGGCCACATAACTGCACTGATCACATTTAAATGGCTTCTCACCTGAAGGTAAATCAAAAGTATGAAAGAAGGTATAGATTAAGACAAATTTAACATTAAAATATAAGGAACTGTATATGTAAAATGATGACAGACTATTGAAAATGCTGTATCATGCACCTTACATTTACCATATTTATTTGTATAACATTTCTTTATCCTTTTACATTGATTCTCAGAGGAAATCTCAGTCAACCACAAACTTCAAAACAGTTCAAGTTAGAGTCCTCAAGCACTATTAAAGAACAGAGATTCTTTAAGAAATACACAACCATTGGCAAAGTTCAATTGGGCTCTGGATGTTAATTTGAAGGAAAATTATCTATTTTAAATTTTTTTGTGTGTTTAGTTAAAACAAATGCATAATGGAGTAGAAAATAAAATTCTGGCCAGGTGCAGTGGCTCATGGCTATAATCGCAACACTTTGGGGGGCCATGGCAGAAGGCTCACTTGAGCCTAGAAGTTAGGGGAACAACCTGAGCAAAATAAATAAAAACAAAAATTAACTTTGGGAGGCCAGGGTGAGTGGATCCCTTGATGCCAGGAGTTTGAGACCAGCCTGGCCAACACAGTGAAACCCCATCTCTACTAAAAATACAAACAAAATTAGCTGGGCATGGTGCTGCACGCCTGTAATCCCACCTACTTGGAAGGCTGAGACACGAGAATTGCTTTAACTTAGGAGGCAGAGTTTGCAGTGAGCCGAGATCGTACCACTTCACTCCAGCCTAGGCAAAAGTGAGACTGTTTCAAAAAAAAAAAAAAAAGAAAAAAAAAAAAAAAAATCAGCCAGGCATTGGGGAGTGCACCGGTTGTCCTAGCTACTTAGGAGGCCAAGGCAGGAGGACAGCTTCAGCCTAGGAATTTGAAGTAGCAGTATGCTGTGAATGTGCTACTGCACTCCAACCTGGGCAACAGAGCAAGGCCCTGCCACAAAAATAAATCAAATAAAATTCCCAGCCAGGTGCAGTGGCTAACAGCTGTAATCCCAGCACTTTGGGAGGCCAAAGCAGGTGGATCACCTGAGGTCAGGAATTCAAAACCAGCCCAGTGAACATGGTGAAATCCCATCTCCAGACAAAATACAAAAAATTAGCCAGGCATGGTGGCAGATGCCTGTAATCCCAGCTACTTGGGAGGCTGAGGCAGAAGAATTGCTTGAACTCGGGAGGCAGAGGTTACAGTGAGCCGAGATCATGCCACTGCACGACAGCCTGGGCAATGAGAGTGAAAATTCGTCTCAAACAAGCAAACAAATAAATAAATAACATACTTTCCCCACCCTAATTTTCTTGTGGTAAATTTTGAGAAAAACACTCTGGGCTATACTCCCAGATCCTAGGTAAAAGTTTTGAAATTCTGCTTTAGCCTGAGCAAAGGCTTTTTCTTGAAATTTAATCCTTCTGTCCATCATGGTAAGAGCTGAGTAAATTTTCACTTAGCAAACTCCCTGGGCTAGCACTGCTATTTTAAACAAAAATATAGGAAAACTTTCTTGATGTTTCCCCCACCTTTTCTATAAAATGTGTAAAGGAACTAGGTAATGAGAAGTGGCACACAAATAGATATGGTATGTAAAATAAGAAACATCATAATCACTGAAACATACAGAACCAGAACCACCCCCACCCCCAAAATTAAAGGCACAAGAGTAATACATTCTACCTGAATACATACCCATCTAGATCACACTCTAGTAAATATTACCAAATGGTATCCATACCCCACTGGTCCAATGGAATGCATAGTAGAAAAATGGAAATTGACATTTATGAAAATTCATCTCAAACATTCTCAAATTCATTATCAAATCTTACTAAAATTTTTCATAAGGCAAAATCAAACATTAGGCAAAACCATGTAGATGTTAAACTTCACATGATTAGAAAATGCCTGGTAATAAAATAATCACCTTATCCAGGTAGTCAAATTGGATATTCAGCTGACCAGATAATTCTTCTCCATATTGGTCTGCTAAAAGATTTATTAATATGCAAGCTTCTACAACATGCTACATTACTCTATACTTGGTTCTATATTGTCCTCTCCAGTGAATGACTTAAATGGAGACAAACATTTTCTTAACATATGTGGACATAGAACATAGAAAGATAGGTAGCACAAGGCCTAAGAACTTGTTCTAGACAGAGCTAGACTATCTGGGAGATAAAACAATGGGCTCTGCAAGATGCTTACTCTGAGACTTTGAGCAAAGTACTGAAACCTCTCTAGAGTTCAATTTCTTAAAATATAAAATACTCTCTTAAGTGTTGTGAGCTATAATCTAATCTAATCCATGTAAAGTCCTTAACATGGAGCAGAGAGCAAGAATTTTCACTTTTGGAACCAATTGGTAACTCTGAGTATGGATAAATAAAAGAGAAGACTAGGCCAGGCATGGTGGGTCACGCCTGTAATCCCAGAACTTTGGGAGGCATTTTTGTAAAAATACAAAATTTTGGGAAGCATTTTGTAAAAATACAAAAAAAGTTAGCCGAGTGTGGTGGTGTATGCCTATAGTCCCAGCTACTTGGGAGGTTGAGGCAAGAGAATCGCTTGAATCTGGGAGGTGGAGGTTGCTTCGAGCTGAGATTATACCACTGCACTACAGCCTGGGCAACAGCTAGGCTTGTCTCAAAAAAGAAATTAATTAAAAAGGCTGGGCACAGTGGTTCATGCCTGTAATTCCATGGTGAAACCCCATCTCTACTAAAAATACAAAAAATTAGCTGGGCATGGTGGCACACACCTATAATCCCAGCTACTTGGGAAGCTGAGGCAGAAGAATCACTTGAACCTGGGAAGCGAAAGTTGCTGTGAGCTGAGACTGAACCATTGCACTCCAGCCTGGGCAACAGGGCAAGACTCTTTCTCAAAAAGTAAAATAAGGCCAGGTGCAGTGGCTTACACCCGTAATCCCAGCACTTTTGGGAGGCTGAGGTGGGAGGATCACCTGAGGTCAGGAGTTCAAGACCAGCCTGATCAACATAAACTCTGTCTCTACTAAAAATACAAAAAAAATTAGGCAGGTATGGTAGCACATGCCTGTTATCCCAGCTACTTAGAAGGCTGAGGCAGGAGAATCGCTTGAACCTAGGAGGCGGAGGTTGCCATGAGCCATGATAGCGCCACTGCACTCCAACCTGAACAACAAGAGTGAAACTCCTCAAATAAATAAGCAAATAAATAAATACATGGGAAGACTCTTATGTATCCTGTCTTTCTTATGAGTAAATAGATAAGTGGAATTTATCTCTTCTCTTCAAATTTACACTAATAGAATTATAATTAAAATATCATAATTTTATAACCTCTAATGAATAAGGCGATCTATACAGCAAGCATCAAGGTACAAGGTTCTCCCTAAGGAATGGCGAAGGGAAAGGGAGGATACAGAAATTTTTTTTAACAGCTTCTCTTCTTTATAAATCTGCCAGTTGTTTGTTTTATGCCTCCAAAATGAATTTATAGGAGTAAGCAAGTCAAAAGGGGAAGGATTTTTGTAAGCTTTACATATACGTTTCAAAAGCATTCTTCGAAGAATAGTCAGGCATAGTGGCTCACACCCGTAATCCTAGTCCTTTTGGGAGGCTGAGGTGAGGAAGACTGCTTGAGTTAAAGAGTTTTGAGACCAATGTGGACAACCTAGTGAGACCCTGCCTCTACAAAAAAAATTTTTTAATTAGCCAGATGTGGTGGTACAAGCCCACAGCCACCTACTCTAGAGGCTAAGGCAGGAGGATCGCTTGAACCTAGGAGGTCAAGGCTGCAGTGAAAAAAATACAAGCACAAGCCTCTTAAGTGTTTTTAAATTTTTTAAATTAAATCTATTAAAAATAAAAACAAAACAAATATCTAGAGAGAATATCAAAGGAAATTTTTTTTTTTTGAGACTGAGTCTTGCTCAGCTGCCCAGGCTGGAGTGCAGTGGCGTGATCTCGGCTCACTGCAACCACCATCTTCTGAGTTCAAGTGATTCTCTCATCTCAGCCTCCCAAGTAGCTGGGATTACAGGCATCCACCATCACGCCCAGCTAATTTTTGCATTTTAGCACAGACTGGGTTTCATCACGTTGGCCATTCTGTTCTTGAAATCCTGACCTCAGGTGACACGCCCACTTTGGCCTCCCAAAGTGCTAGGATTATAGGCGTGAGCCACTGCGCCCAGCCGGCAGAGAAAATTTTTAAGTAAAAAGTAATGGGGGCATACAATAAATTACCAGCAATAAAATGAAGTTCCAATAATGCAACATAAATAAACCTCAAGAACATTTTACTAAAAAAAGTCCTAAAACTAGGCGCAGTGAATCGTGCCAAGAGGTTTAGGAAGCTGTAGCTGTGCCAACTGCACTCCAGCCTGGGTGACAGAGTGAGAGCCCATCTAAAAGAAAACAAACACACTACAATGTTCTTTGGTAGGACACAGAATATCATCCAGGGAAAAGACTGGGTGTGCTGAGTGAAAAGGGCAAGGTGTTTCTGAGCAGAAGTATTCCACATCTTGTACTTGAGTGATAGTCAACTAGGTGAAGGCATAGTCACTGAGCTGTACACTTAAGACCTGTGCATTTTCAAATTTATAAATTATACCTCAATAAAATATTGTTTTTTAAATTTATTCTACAAAGATTCTCAAACTATTATAATAACTTTCAAACAATCCCAGCTATTTAAGATAGTCCCTTGGCACCGATGTTATCAAAATAAACATATACATTTGGGCACAGTGATTCATGCCTGTAATGCCAACACTTTGAAAGGCTGAGACAAGAGAACTGCTTGAGGCCAGGAGTTTGAGGCCAGCCTGGGCAACAAAGCAAGACCCAGTCTCTATAAAAATAAATAGGATACTTAAATAAAAATCAGCCCGGCGCGGTGGCTCACGCCTGTAATACCACCACTTTGGGAGGCCGAGGCAGATGGGTTACCTGAGGTCAGGAGTTTGAGACCAGTCTGACCAACATGGTGAAACCCCATCTCAAAATAAATAAACAAATAAATAAAAATAATAGTCCCAACAGAGTGCGGTGGCTCACTTCTGTAACCCCAGCCCTCTGGGAGGCTGAGGTGGGTGGATCATGAGGTCAACAGATAGAGACCATCATGGCCAACATGGTGAAACCCCATCACTACAAAAAACACAAAAATTAGCTGGGTGCGGGTGCACACCTGTAGTCCCAGCTACTCAGGATGCTAAGGCAGGAAAATCACTTGAACCCGGGAGGCAAAGGTTGCAGTGAGCCAAGATCCTGCTACTGTACTCCAGCCTGACAATAGAGCGAGACTCCGTATCAAAAAAAAAAAAAAAAAAAAAAAGGCCGGGCACAGTGGTTCACACTTGTAATTCCAGCACTTTGGGAAGCCAAAGGTGGACAGATCACAAGCTCAGGAGTCCAAGACCAGCCCGTTCAATATAGTGAAACCCTGTTTCTACTAAAAAATAAAAATAAAAAAATAAAAAAACTTAGCTGGGGCATGGTGGCTCATGCTTGTAGTCCTAGCTACTCAGGAGGCTGGTGTAGGAGAATCGCTTGAACCTGCTGGGAGGCGGAGGCTGAAGTGAACCGAGATTGTGCCACTGCACTCCAGCTAGAACTCAGGAACCGGAGGTTGCAGTGAGTTGAGATTGCGCCACTGCACTCCAGCTGGGCGACAAGAGCAAAACTCCATCTCAAAAATAATAATAGTCTCCATTAGCTGGAGTGGTGGCACGTGCCAGTAGACCCAGCTACTCGGGAGACTGAGGCAGGAGAATGGCTTGAAGCCCAGGCATTTGAAGTTGCAGTGAGGTGTGATCACACCACTGCATTCCAGCCTGGGCAACAGAGTCCCCGACTCCAAAAACATAAACAGCAACAAAAATTACTTATTTGTGAGCTTTTGTCCTATAATATATAATCTGAAACTCAGTATCTTTGTATTACTAAGATTGGAGACACCAAATACTTGTTTTTAGTAACCAGCATATATACAACAGCTAGTAACTATTACTAGTTCTTAAGACACCATTAAAATACTTGCTATACTGTACCAGCAACTACTAAAAATCATTTTTAAAATATAGCAGGCAAAACTCAAAACATTTTGCAAGCCCAAATACAATTGTTTCAGGCAAAGATTATCAACTGGTATAGAACACTATAAAACAGTGACAAGGCAAAGTATTACTAATTAAGTATGTAGTCTTTCTATACGCAGTGACCCAACATTATATTAATGGATCAACCAAATGTGACTTTAAATGAGACATATCATTTGCAGGAAAGATTATCAAGGATTTAAATTTAATTTCCAGTTTACAATACAAAAGATAGAAGAAAAGTTAAATGACACCATGAGAAAACAAGTGGACATATCCAGAAGGGAGGACATTCTACAAAAAAAAAAAAAAAAGGCATATTTTTTTCAATGCCCTATATTCCCGATCTGTAAAATGGGGATAATAGAACTCATGCAAAACAAAATAGTTATGAAGACTAAAACTAGTTAACTAAAATAAAGCTCTTGGCCAGGAGCGGTAGCTCACGCCTGTAATCCCGGCACTTCGGAAGGCTGAGGCAGGCAAACCACTTGACTTCAGGAGTTCAAGACCATGCTGGCCAACATGGTGAAACCTCATCTCTACTAAAAATACAAAATTAGCCAGGCATGGTGGCACATGGGAGCCTCCCAGCTACTTGGGAGGCTGAAGCAGGAGAATCACTTGAACCCAGAAAACGGAGGTTGCAGTGAGCTGAGATCGTGCCATTGCACTCCAGCCTGGGCAACAAGAGCAAAACTCCGCTACAGAAAAAAAAAAACAGTAATAATAATAATAATAATATAAAGCTCTTAAATATTTTACTAAAAAGCTAGAGTACAACTATGAACAGGACATGATGCCTACCCTCAACGGCTGAGATTGCATCCATGTTACCATCGAGAGAATGAAACCAGAAACAACCAAAAATAATGAAATCAGGTTTCTGGTTAAGTGGCACCACACAATGGCTTAGATTCAGGGAAAAAACGCTCAAAGCACATTAGCATGACAAGCATCTGGGGTCAAGAAAGACTAGCAAGCATACTACACGACACCTTCATAGCTGTTCAAATCAGAACCTGCAATATAATCAAATATTATTATCAAGTCTTATTCCTAACTCATGGTAGCAATGTCCAGTAGATAATGCATATCACACATGTAATCTTAAATTTTCTAGTAGTCATATAACAAAGGTAAAAAGTAAAACAGGTAAAATTTATGTTATTACTTTTTAAAGCCAATGTATTCAATAATTTCACTATATAATCAACTTGAAAAATAAATATTTAACATTCTTTATTTTTTCTCTAACCTGCTTCAGAGAAAGACATTCTTCATACTATTTCAAACTGTGGCCAGGTGTGGTGGCTCACACCTGTAAGCCCAGCACTTTGGAAGGCCAAGATGTGCAGATCACTTGAGGCCAGGAGATCGAGACCAGCCTGGCCAACATGGTGAAACCCCATCTCTACTAAAATTACAAAAATTAGCCCGGGATGGTGGCACATGCCTGTAATCCCATCTACTAGGGAGGCTGAGGCATGAGAATTGCTTAAACCCGGGAGGCAGAGGTTGCAGTGAGCTGAGATCTGTGCCACTGCACTCCAGCCTGGGGGACAGTGCAAGACTCTATCTCAACTAAAGAAAAAAAAAAAAGGAAAACAAAATCTGGTAAGTACATATTCTATAAATATCAATTCAAACTAGCAATGTTTCAAAAGTTTAATAACCACATGTGGTTAGTGGCTACTCAACTGAATAGCACAGATCTAAGATACTTATTAACTTAAGGGAGATGGGTCTACACAGACTTTTGTAAACAGCAAGATTTAAGATACTTTTTCCACGGAGACATACTCTGTAAATCTGTAATCTAATCAGAAGTGGTAGTTGGGTCAGCCGAGGTGGCTCACCCTGTAATCCCAGCTGAGGCAGGAGGATCATGAGGTCAGGAGTTCAAGAACAGCCTGACCAACATGGTAAAACCCTATCTCTACTAAAAATACAAAAATTAGCCAGGCATGGTGGCGCACGCCTGTAATCCACCTACTCAGGAGGCTGAGGCAGGAGAACTACTTGAACCCGGTAGGTGGAGGCTGCAGTGAGCTGACATTGCGCCACTGCACTCCAGCCTTGGAGACAGAGCAAGGCTCAGTCTCAATGAAAAAAAGAAGTGGTAGCTCACCAAGAGTCATCAGAGTTGGAATAAAATAATTACCCATTTGAGCAAGATCACCGATGCTAACATTACTTTTTAACTTGATAATGGGGACTAATTTTTTTTTTTTTTTTTGAGACAGAGTTTTGCTCTTGTTGCCCAGGCTGGAGTGCAATGGCGTGATCTTGGCTCACTGCCACCTCTGCCTCCCAGGTTCAAGCGATTCTCCTGTTTCAGCCTCCTGAGTAACTGGGATTACAGGCAGGCATCACCATGCCCAGCTAATTTTTTATTTTTAATAGAGACAGGGTTTCTCCATGTTGGTCAGGCTGGTCTTGCACTCCCAACCTCAAGTGATCTGCCGGCCTCAACCTCCAAAAGTGTTGGGATTACAGGCATGAGCCACCATACCCAGACAATGGGGTCTAATTCTGAGTGGTGACAGTGATTGTTTCAGTCACTGGCGTGGATGAATCTCTCGTGTTATAGTCCTATACTCTTACTATAGATTAATAAATTGGCATCCTAAATTGTCTATTATTCTCTTTTTCAAGCTAAGCTTTTGCAGTCAGTCCTCAAAAGCTCTACCAAACCTTGAAAGAGAACAAACCTAAATTTCAGGACCTGAAAAGCTAAAAAGGAATCCCTGACACATGCCAATCACATATTATGAATCTCAGCTTTATTCTGTTAGTGGAAATGTGAGAAGTACGGGTTAGGCAGAAAGGATCAATCAGCCTTGGTCTATATTAGTTTAACTTCTGTTGGAGTAACGGAACACTTCAAAGATTTGATAAGAATTAAGGACCCTCCTCCCAGAAATGGCGTACACAAAAATTTCATTCTCAGGAGGTCCACCTTTGGATTCCACGTTAGGAATTCCCGATAGAAAACTGATTTTTAAATTCTAACTTCTAAATTCTATTAAAAATAAATCATAAATAAATGACTCAGTTACAAGTCTAAAAGAATGTCCTTAAAATGGTCATTTACTGAAAATGATAGAAAAGTTCCCATTTCGTACCAACCTGAATGAGTACGCATATGTCTAGTTAGATGAGTCTTCTGAGAACTTGAGTAAGGACAAAGTTCACATTTATATGGGCGTTCTCCTGCAAAATTTCAATGATGAAGAAGGTTTAAATGTCACAAAATAGACCAAACACAATTCTCACTAACAATGCAAAAATATTCAATACTCAATACATTTTAACAAGAATTTTTTTCCCTATTGCTGACAAAAACATCAATTTATCATGTATTTAAAATTAAGTTATTTATTTCAGAAATTATGACATTATTTTGGCTTTGAGAAAAAACAACACTGAGTTTCTGAATTCTCACAGCCCTTTTAATTTTCACAGTGATACTGCATGTTATAACCTTAAGTAGTGAGAAGTGAAAAACTATCTTGATAAGGTAATCAGGCATATGTTTGTTAAATAAGAATAACTTTTTTTTTTGAGTCTCGCTCATTACCCAGGCTGGAGTGCAGTGGCGTGATCTCGGCTCACCGCAACCTCCGCCTCCTGGGTTCAAACAATTCTCCTGCCTCAGCCTCCCAAGTAACTGGGACTACAGGCTCGCACCACCATGCCCAGCTAATTTTTGTATTTTTAGTAGAGACGGGGTTTCATCATGTTGACCAGGATGGTCTCAATCTCTTGACCTCATGATCCACCCGCCTCAGCCTCCCAAAGTGCTGAGATTATAGGCGTGAGCCACCGTACCCGGCCAAGAATACCCTTTAAAAAAATCTACCTGAATTGTCTAATGCTATTAACAGTAGTTTTTTTTGAACCTTGTAAATGATTAATCTACCATTTGAACTTGTTAGCTTAAAGCAACAATACTTTTTGAGTGGGGATGTAGTTGCTTTATGCTAAAAATTCAAGTGGTAGAGTTCCAGACCAGCCTAGGCAACACAGCAAGGCCCCATCTCTAAAAATGTACTTTAAAAACTAGCCTGGGTCTGGCATGATGGCTCGTGCCTGTACTCCCAGCACTTTGGGAGACTGAGTCAGGCGATCACCTGAAAGAGGTCAAGGAGTTCGAGACCAGTCTGACCAACATGGAAAAACCCTGTCTCTACTAAAAATACAAAATTAGTCAGGCATGGTGGCGCATGCCTGTAATTCCAGCTACTCGGGAGGCTGAGGCAGGAGAATCACTTGAACTGGGAGACAGAGGTTGCAGTGAGCCAAGATCGCGCCATTGCACTCCAGCTTGGGCAACAAGAGTGAAACTCCGTCTCAAATAAAAAAAAAAAAAAAAAAAAAGCCAACGTGGGCTGAGTATGGGGATTGTGGCCCTCGCCTGTAACCCTAACACTTTGGGAGGCTAAGACAGGCAGATCGCTTGAGCCCAGGAGTTCAAGACTAGCCTGGGCAACACAGCAAGACCTCCTCTCTTAAAAAAAAAAAAATAGAAAAATTAGCCAGGCGTAGTGGCGCATGTCCCAGCTACTTGGGAGGCTGAGGTGGAAGGATTGCTTGAGCCCAGGAAGGACAAGGCTGGTATGAGCTGTGATTGTCCTATCATGCTCCAGCCTGACTGAAAGTGAGATCCTGTAGACCCAGCACCTGGGAGGCTGAGGCAGGAAGATCACTTGAGCCCAGAGTTTGAGGTTACAGTGAGTTATGATGGCCCCACTGTATTCTAGCCTTGGAAAAAGGGAGATCCTGTCTCTAAAAACATAAAATAGGCCGGGCGCAGTGGCTCAAGCCTGTAATCCCAGCACTTTGGGAGGCCGAGGCGGGTGGATCACGAGGTCAAGAAATCAAGACCATCCTGGTCAACATGGTGAAACCCCATCTCTACTAAAAATACAAAAAATTAGCTGGGCATGGTGGCGTGTGCCTGTAATCCCAGCTACTCAGGAGGCTGAGGCAGGAGAATTGCCTGAACCCAGGAGGCGGAGGTTGCGGTGAGCCGATATTGCGCCATTGCACTCCAGCCTGGGTAACATGAGTGAAACTCCGTCTCAAAAAAAAATAATAATAATAAAATTAAAAAAAAATAAAATAAAAAACAGTAAGTTATAAAGTTAGGCTGGGTGCAGTGGCTCACACCTGTAATCTCAGCACTTTTAGAGGCCAAGGAGGGCAGATTGCCTGAGCTCAGGAGTTCAAAACCAGCCTGGGCAATAGAGTGAAACCCTGTCTCTACTAAAAATAACAAAACATTAGCCAGGCGTGCTGGGGTGTGCCTGTAGTCCCAGCTACTCGAGAGGCTGAGGCAGAAGTGCTTGAACCCGGGAAGCAGAGGTTGCAGTAAGCCGAGATCGTGCCACTGTACTCCAGCCTGGGCGACAGAGTAAGACTTGAAAAATTTAAGAAATAGGTCATCAATTTTCTTCTTATTGTTATGAGATAGGGTCTTGCTCTGTCGCCCAGACTGGAGTACGATGGCGTGAGCATGGCTCCTGCAGTTTCGACCTCCTGGGCTCAATAGATCTTCCAGTCTCCTAAGTAGCTGGGACCACAGATGTGTAAAACCATGCCCCGTTAATGTTGTTGGTTTTTTTTTTTTTGTAGAAACCAGATTTGCCCAGACTGGTCTCAAACTCCTGGGCTGAAACAATCCACCTGTCTTGGCCTCCCAAAGTGCTGGGATTACAGGCATGAGCCACCAGGCCCAAGTAGTCATTAATTTTAAAAAACAAATTCTAAAAGCCACAGGGACTGAAGACTAGAGGCCAGTGATGTAATACTGAAGAATTAAGACTAAAGGTAGGAAATGTATATTCTTTTTAGACATAGCTGTCAACCACAAAACAAGCTTTAAAGAAATGTGTACAATTTGTTTTAATATAGTCTCCAGACACAAGATAATTACGACTTTGGTAAAGTTACTAACACGCCCTGTTTCCCTAGCTACAATTGTGAAAGTTTAAATAATACATGCAGAGCATTTAACACTGTACCTGGCACATAATAAAGCCCTCAATAAATGTCAGCTATCAATTTTGTCTATATAACAAAATACAGAAACAAATGTGTCTAATAAAATAAGGAAAAGATGGTACACAGAAAAAAAGAATAGGGCTGGCGTGGTGGCTCATGCCTGTAATCCCAGCACTTTGGGAGGCAGGCAGATAGTTTGAGCCCAGAAGGTTGAGGCTGCAGTGAGTGGTGATCACACCACTGCACTCCATACAGGGCAACAGAACTGTATGTCTCAAAACAAAATAGACCCTGTCTCAAAACAAACAACAAAAAGGACGATGACAAGTGGGAAAAGAGTTCCTAGTAACTACTCTGCTGTAATTTGCTGGTAGCTATGCATTAGCTGTAAAGAGCTGGTAGCAACAGAATGCCTACCTTTTGACCTGAACAATTAAGGTAGTTTTACGTTAATGGAATTCTGTAAAAAATGATATACAGATAGCCAATAAACACATGAAAAGATGAACATTATCATTAGCCTTGAGGGAAATGCAAATCAAAACCACAATGAGATGAAAACTTCAGGCCGGGCGTGGTGGCTCACACCTGTAATCCAAGCACTTTGGAGGCCAAGGCGGGCGGATCACCTGAGGTCCGGCGTTCAAGACCAGCCTGACCAACATGGTGAAACCCTGTCTTAAAAAATAAATAAAAATAAAAATAAAAATGAAAACTTCATGCCCACTAGGAAAGTATCTGTCATCACAAAGACAGATGCTAACAGTATCACTGCTGAGGATGTGCTGAAATTGGAACCCTCACACGTTGTTGGTGGGATTGTAAAATGGCATGGGTAATTTGGAAAACAGTTTGGCAGTTAACCAAATGTTGCCACTATACTTCCCCACAATCTGACTCTTAGGTATATATCCAAAAGAAACAAAAACATACGTCCACATAAAAACCTAAACATGAATATTCCTAGCAGCATTATTTGGACTGCGTATTATATGATTCCATTTACATGAAATATTCAAAACAGGCCAATTTATAGTGAGCTGTATATGTAAATTGTATCTCATAAAGTTGGAAAAAATTAAATAGCACTGCAGATAAGAAAATTTACTTTTACATTATATTATTATTATTATTATTTGAGACAAGGTTTCACTCTTGTTGCCCAGGCTGGTGTGCGAGGCACGATCTCAGCTCACTGCAACCTCTGCCTCCTAAGTTCAAGCGATTCTCCTGCCTCAGCCTCCAGAGTAGCTAGGGTTACAGGCATGTACCATCACCATCCATGCTCAACTAACTGTATTTTTTTAGTAGAAGCGGGGTTTTTCCATGTTGGTCAGGCTGGTCTGGAACTCCCAACCTCAGGTGATCCACCCGCCTCAGCCTCCCCAAAATGCTGGAATTACAGGCATGAGCCAACACGCCCGGGCTATTTTTTTTTTTTTTTTTGAGACAGTCAGGCTGCAGCGTAATGGCGCGATCTCAGCTCACTGCAACCTCTGCCTCTTGAGTTCAAGCGATTCTCCTACCTCAGCCTCCTGAGAAGCTGGGACTACAGGCCCGTGCCACCATGCCAGGCCCATTTTGTATTTTTAGTAGAGATGGTGTTTCACCATGCCGGCCAGGCTGGTCTTGAACTCTTGACCTCGTGATCTGCCCGCCTCAACCTCCCAAAGTGCTGGGATTACATGCATGAGCCACTGTACCCCGCCTACTCTTAAATTACTTACAACAGATTACTTTATCTGTGTAATTCCACAAACCAGGCATAACTGTTCTAGAAAGCTTAGTTACCTACTGATTTTTCAGTTACACACAGGTAAAGGGTTTTCTTTAAATGTAGATTTTGTGAACCAGTTAAACACAAAACCACTAAATTAAAGAGGTTAGCCTGAATGAAAGTAATCCCCAACCACACCATCACCAAAATAATCAGCTGTAGAATAATGAGACTGCTGTACTTTAAATGCTACTTGTTTTTCGAGATAGAGTCTCACTATGTCTCGCAGGCTGGAGTGCAGTGGTTCTATCTCTACTCACTGCAACCTCCACCTCCCAAGTTCAAGCGATTCTCCTGCCTCAACCACCGAGTGCTAGGATTACAGGTGTGAGCCACCACCAATGGCTATAAATGATGCTTGTATATGACCTTGGGAACATCACTTCAGACTTTTATATCGCAAGTTTTCTCCTCTGTAAACATGATTATCACAGATGCTATTTTCCTCAATGGACTGTTCTGAAGATTAGCACAGAAGACAGCACCTAACACTGGGCACAAGAAACACAAACCCAGTAAGTGAATCAGAAAACTGGGCTACTTAATAATGCAAGTGGAAATAAGAATTCCTGCACACTATCAATTTAAGTGATTCCTGTTTTTTTTTCTCTCTCTACTCTTCTACACCAGATGAGTTTATTTTCCATAATTTTCAGAATTATGCATTTAATAACACCAGAGATACTTTCAGAATTTACATAATCAAAGTATTAACCTTCAATCTACCAAATTGTTTTAAGATGTATACATCACCAAAAAAAAAAAAAAACTTTTTTTTACCAAGACGTAAAAAAAAAGGCCAGGAGTTTGAGACCAGCCTGTCCAACATGGTAAAAATGCATAACTCTGAAAATTATGGAAAATAAAGTCA